GACTTTTTATCTCACAATTCTGACTTTTTTTTCTCAGAACTTGCAATTGCGAGTTATAAAGTCATAATTGTGAGATATAAACACGCGATTCTGAGAACATAGTCTTTTCCACCTCAAAATTGGACTTTATAACTTACAATTCTGAGAAAAAAGTCAGAGTTGCGAGAAAAACGGTCAGAATTGCGAGTTTTTATCACGCAATTCTGAGAAAAAAAGTCCGAATTTTGAGATTATATCTCGCAATTCTGATTTTATAACTGGCAATTGAGATTTAATATGTCACAATTCTGTGACCCTTCAGACTATTCGGGTTCCGGTGCACAAGGATTTGTGGAAATAATTACACCCGAACTGGATTCGTTTGTCATTGAATTAATCGCGCGCCCGTTTCAATGTCATAATGGACAGGTTGCATTCGTCCATGCGTAAAAGGCTCTACAGTTTGCCACAGCACATCATGGGTGATGCAGAAGACACCGACAAGGACACCCGGAGGAAGAGCATCCGGATGAAGCCCCTGCCGTCGCCGACCTCCGCGGGGGAGACCAGAAGCGGAGAGTCCGTGATCATGGAGACGGACATCGGGAGACCCGTGAAGACCAGCTCCAACGGGGACTGCCGGAGGTTCCGAGGGAGCCTTTCGTCCATCAGCAGTCGGCACGTCCACGACTCGGATGTAGCGGAGGAGAGGCGTCTGATCACGGAGGGAGAAGTCACCCCGAGCGAGGAGAGCCCTCCTGGAGCCGGCGGGGGTGAGGATGCCGCCGGTGCGAACCAGCAGCAACCGGGCGTCCCGGATCAGCAGGCTGGCTTTATAAAGCTGGAGGGCATCGAGCAGATCCTGCCGGACGACGAGAGGTTTTATCAAGCGGGCTTCATGCACAGGCAGTTCGGGGCGATGCTGCAGCCCGGGGTCAACAAGTTTTCCCTGCGGATGTTTGGGAGCGAGAAGGCGGTGGAACGGGAGCAGGAACGGGTCAAATCCGCCGGCTTCTGGATTATTCACCCCTACAGTGATTTCAGGTAACAGGTTCTGTCTGTGTCCCTCCAAAACACTGCTCACTTTACATCTGGATCAATCAGTGTATGGCGTGACAGAGAAAATAGTTGTGCTGACCCAAAACAGCAAGATAATGTAGGTTTAAATTCAAATTATGTGTTTATTAGAAACTGTCTGCTATCTTAATAGTCAAACCAGTATTGCTAAAGAGAAGAAAACAAATGAAAGGCTTTAATGAGAGATGCACTTTTGCACAATCGGTAACCATTAACATCCATGGAATCTTTCCTTTGCACAAAAGGTTCTTTACAGTGGAAAAAAAAAGGTTCTTTAGATTATTAAAATGTTCTTCACACTAAGAGAAAAAAAATGAACGGTTCTATTGGGGAACCTAAAAAATGGTCCTTCTTTGGCATTGCTGTGGCCCTTCATTTATAAGAGTGTCTAAAAATGCTAAAGTTGAAGGTGTATCGATGTTTACTGTTTTTAAATAATTCCGGGTTATAGTTAATACAATTTATACAGTTTATATATATGAAGAGTTCAGATGCAAAAGCCTCTAAGTGCCGTCTGAAATTTTAAATCTAAAATGAGCATTTTTATCAGGCTCCTATATTTATGTTCATTTATTTCGCTTTAGTGGCATAGAAAAGGACCTATGCATTGTCATTAAATTTTAGAAGAACATTTCAGATGGCACTTAGAGGCTTTGCATCTGAACTCTTTTTAATATATATATATATAATATCAGATTTCATTTTAAATAGTCAGCCAAAAAAGTTTCAAACATTTCAGTTTTGCTTATATTTTTCTTCTTCTTCTTCCAAATGTGATTTTACAGCCATTTTGCAACACACCAAGCCCAGAGCTCTCCCAGCTGACAGCAGAAGTGCATTAGCTACTTGAATTTGACATGAAATCCAGACACTCTCTCTCTTTATTAATTAAGATGTGTCCTTGGGGATGACATTGACTCTATAGATCTGATATGTTCATACACACCGGTTTGTGCACATTTGCCTCAGGCTTCATTTGTGATATGAGTGCATGAAACTGATTCATGCTGTGGTCGTGCAAGCCTTCAAAAAAAGCAAACATTAGTTATTTTTTAATTACATGCTATCTGTTTTGCATTCACAATCCGTCTGACTGGCTAAATGCATATTCACAAACGCTGAGTGTGCCACGGATGTCTTTGATTGGGTTGAATTTACACACTGTTTTCATTCATGAATTGGCAGGGTAACGTGCGACACAGGGTTAACCGCTATAACCCAGCCCCCTCCGGAGACACGACTGCTGTTTACCTATTGATCCCGAGATGATGCTTTTATTCTGCTCGACATTATGAGATTGCAGCGTTGTTCCTGGAGGATATGAAAGGCAGTGTGGGAATAGACTGATA